ACGGGGTCGTTAGTGAGTGAGGCGATCCGTCCTACGCGGGTTGTATCCGTAGCTGCGAGACTGATTACCCCCCCCCCCTCTCTCTCTCTCTCTCTCTTCCTCGTAGATTTCGTCAGGGCGCGGCTACTACCCGGCTCGCTGGCACGACGAGGGAGGAAGAGCAAGGACTTTTCGTCTTCCTCCAACGGGCGTGCCGCGGCGGCTAGAAACGGGTGGAGCCAGGTTTGTGGTCTAAAATAATGACTTTTCTAGAGGTGGGGGGGAAGGCATTTGTCTGCCTGGTCCGTCCGTGCTTGCCAAAGTGCAGGCGAAGCCCCCACCCATTTCCTGATGTGCTGTTCACAGGACGCTCATAGGCACCACAGTGTATTAAAAAGTATAGAGGTTCGTAAACTCTCTAAACCACATTGTCTTTTGCCTGCACTTCCAGCACGGATCACGCACGGCACAAATGACATCTTGGATTTCAAGCAATCTGCTTGGTTTTCAAGACAATTTTCAAGGAATTCCCTAGAATAACAACAAGTTATTTTTACCGCGTGCAATGGGTAACCAATGCGCGGGAAAAATAAGGGGGGTTGAATTTTGTCCAAAACGAAAGGGACCCAAAATGAAAATATTTTCACAGTACACTCAAAATGGAAAGGCGTATCACGAGGAGTACAAAATTTAAAGCACATTCTATGGTGAGCAAAGAATGGCACGTTGGGTAACGTTCAGTACCTACGCGGCTAGCGCGGCTGGCGTGCTCCAAACTCTGGCGTGTTTTGCGTGCCGCTCGGGCGTGCCTGCCGTGCCTGCCGTGCCTGCGCGCGCTGCGCCTGTCCCCGGGGCGCCTCGGCAATCACCGCGCTGGGGGCGCCTGGGACAGGACTCGGCGGGCACAGCCCCCCGGGGGAGCGATACCGCGCTCGCACACACAAGTAAGTGGCACAAGCAGGCAGGACACATTACCTCGCTACAGGGAAAATAAAATGTGTTCGCTGATCCGTGTATAATGCCTTGCCTTATTTCGGACAAAAGTAAAGCAATTCAATACAACTACGATGAACAACCAAATCCAAGCAAGCTGTCTAAGTAAACTCGTAGCTGTCATAGTCCTAGCTGAGATAGCTGCAAAAGATAAATTCCTTTCATTTTTTCCCCGAAATTAGGTGTTACACGTCTGCTAAGTTATTAGATCTCAGCTCGAGTATAACCGCGTTTACACATAAGTATGTATACACATAACGAAACTGTCCATTTCCATCGACATTTCAGCTTTGTTAGAGTGGACCCGAAAAATCGTTTTTTCTTCGTTTGTTGTTCTTTTTTTTTGTTTACCATTGCTGTCGCACACTTTCGTGTTCTATGGGGACTGCTCCTGCGAGGCGAGCAGGGCGCGACAGGGTGGCGGGCGCATGTTGGAACGGAGCCTAAGCCGCGCCTGCAGCCGGCAGCTCCACTCCCGCCTGCCCGCCGCGCCCCGCCGCGCCCCGCCGCGCCCCGCCGCGCCCCGCCGCGCCCTCCAGGCCACGCTCCGACCCGACCCAGTTCTCACTCATGTTCCTAGGAATCGGATCATGCGGCTGCGGGGGCGGCGGGCTGGGCTGGGCTGCCCCGGCCGGCCCTGCGGCTGGCGGGCGGAGGGCGCCGGGACGCCAGGAGTTGCGTCAGCGCCCCGCCCCGCGCTCGCGGACTCGCTCGTCATGTCGCACGCGCTTCCTCGACCTCCCCCGGGCGGTCCTGGCGCGTCCAACTGGGAGCACGACCCCCCAGCCCCAGCAACACCGACTGCCGATCCACATTTCAGTGCCTGATATATTTCGGTATTGAGCTACACGATGCTATCGTCGCCTTAACGGGTTGCTAACTATTTTGATGCCTTGATTTTACCTCAGTACTTTAGTGTCGCATACAACCGTATGGGCTGACGGCCTGCCTGCTCGTGGTCATCATACTCCATACGGCGACTTATGGTCATTATAGAACAGTGGGAAAGTCCGCTCGGTGTCCGTGGGTCATCGGTCACCGTGTGTGTGCAATATGGGCATAACTCCCATTTCATTAAAAGCAGCACGATTAAGTGTCGGGCCGCGCTTTTAGCCCTGGCGGGAGGCCCTAGCGGTGCCCAGGCGGCCGTGGGGCTACGGCGGTGGTCACAGCACCCGGCTGTTGCGCCAGAACGGCGGCGCACGACCACGGCCGGCGACCAAACGTCCTCCGATCCGAACCTTCGGCCCGTGCCCGCGTTCGGCCTAGACGGCCGGGGCAGTAAGTCATTTGGGTGGGCGCGGTGGGGCCGCGGTGGGGCCGCGGTGCGTTGATTCTGGTCAAGACAAAAATACTACCCGGCCGAAGTAAGGCACGACGCCGGAGGCAGGCCGGGGGGGAAGAGGTAGCGAGTCTAACGATGGTGACTTTTAGAAAAGAGGAGCGTGAAATGCTGCGAGACGAAGGCACCAGCAACATTATTCGACGCGTGCATCGGGACCACGGATGATGCTAACATCCTTCTTCGTCCTTGTTGTAGCAAAACCCAGATTTCGTATTGCCGTTTTTAGGAAATTTACTCTCTCTCCCAACGACCCAGCGACTTTTTAAAATACCAATTATAGAGAAAATTCTTTGGAGTATATGCTGCGGCGGGACTCACCTGGAGCTGCTGGTGCGCCGGCCCGACGACGCGCCTCTGGAGGGCGACGCCGCCGTCTGCGCCGGGGCGCTGCTGCCGTCCGATGACGAGGAGGAGGACGAGCTTGACGACGAGCTGGAGGTGGAGAGGTGCAACGACCTGGAGGTCGCCGGGCTGAGCACCGTCCTGGAGCAGGGGCGGGACGCGGCGCGGCCGCACTGGCGCACCCCGGCCACGGGCGCGGAGCGGGGGCGGGCGGGGGTGAGGGTGGCGTCCGCGGCGGCGGGGGCGGGGACCCGCGGCGCGTCGGCGGCGTCGTGGTCGGCGACGGCGCCCTCGGGACCGTCCCGCGCAGCGTCGCTCAGCAGGACGGCGGCGGTGCTGGCGGGGAGGTGCGGCAGCGCCACGTCCGGCGGAGCGCTGCGCCGCTGCAGGCCGTGCTGGCCGTGCTGCTGGTCGCCCAGCCGGAAGTGCCGCACCCGCCTCATGCTCGCACGCAACCAGGACGACGTCCGCCGCCCGCTCGGCCTCCTGTTGGGCGCCGGCTGGGCGGCGTCCGCGGCGCTACCGTCCTCGTCGTCGTCGTCCTCGTCGCACTGGTAGCTCCAGTTGGTGGCACCCGCGTCTGGCGCCGCGGCCGGCGTCGCGACCGGGGCCGCGGCCGTGCGCGCTCCCTGCATGGCGGCGGGACCGACACTGGCGGGTGGCGGCGTCGCGCGGTCCGCGGCGGCGGCCGTGGAGGGGGCGCTGTCCGGGCCGCGGGGCGGGGGGCGCGGCGGCGAGCTGGGCGCGGGGCAGGGCGCGGGGCAGGGCGCGGGGCTGGGCGGGGGGCTGGAGCTGGAACCACGCGGGCCGCCCGACTTGCATGACGGTGACTCAGAGCCCAGTCCAGCGGCCCCCGATGCTGATGACTCTCCTTCCTCTTGTTCTTGTTGCTGCCGCTGGAGCGCCTCCTCCTCCAGCACCCAGCTCCAGTCGATGTCGTCGGTGCCGCAGCTCGAGCTGCAAGCAGACATTGTTCTGTTACACTGTGCCGGGCGGCTGGGGCAATGAGAAATGTGCGAAGCCGTTGCAAAATAATGAGGTACAATCAAATTCTTGTTAAAGTTCTTTTGTATGTGAAGAAAGTTTTTTGGGAGCATGATTTGCTATCACATTAACTACTAATTAACAATTGGGGCTTCGTTCACTAAGGCATGAAATGTTTTCGATCGCAAGCAGCATCCAGAACAGCTTCACGTCGGGCCGGGGTGGGTCGTTCCCTAAACGGCTTCGACCGGTCTCGTTGTAGTTGCTACTTGCTCTGGTCGCGCATTCCATCTGCTCTGCAGCTTGGGATCGTTACGCTGCAAAACTAGCGACATCGCATCGGCCCCTTATCTCTCCATCAAAACAGCTCGTGCCAGATTGTTCCGAAGCAGCCGTTCTTTGGATCTTTTTTTAGCGCGTTTAGAGAGAACTACTTTAGACGGGCCCATACTTTTCGAGAGGTGAAGCTAGTTGGAGAGGGGCGGCGGGAGCATCTGGGCGGCCTCAGTGGAGCCGGCTGTGCACTCTGGCACCCACGTGCGCGGCCGGGCAGCGCTGCCCGCCATGTATTTCGGTAACCTCCGCGCCCGGCCGCGCCCCGCCAGCCGCCCGGGCTGACACGAGCTGCACCGCGGAATTCCAGTGCGCCCCGCCCCACCGCCGTGTCACGGGACTGCCGCCGCCGCCCCGGCCGGTAGCTCTCTGCTGCGCGGACCAAACAGCCGGGTCGAGCCACCCCACTTGACTCACTTTGACACGCGATTGTTTCGCCGGAATGCCTCTCTCCATGTGCTCGGGCGGGCGGGTGGCGGGGGAGGAAGGCGGCAAGGCTAAACTCTGGTTCACATCCCACAGCACAGGGGGTAGTTGCGACACGGCCGGGCGGGGCGGGCGGGGCGACCAGCAGAGCGGCGCGAGGTGAGAGGGAGGGGGGGGGGGCAGCTCTGTTTAAAAGGCCAGGACTGCCAGACTGCTCCGTGAGAATAGTCGTGCGCGCCCTCTGCCCCCCCCCCCCCTTTTCTTATCTGGATCAGTTTGTTGTTTAGGAGTGACGGCCAATATTATTGCATCTAATCGTACATGGACGTCTGACTGCTTTTGTCCTATTTCGTTATGGTTACGCACGCACCAGAGTCGATAAGGGGATGGCGCGGATTAGTATTGCGTGGTAATGTGATTATTCTAAATGCAAAAGAAGATGTGTTCTTAAGCACATCTCAAGTATCACAAGTACGCACATCTCATGTATCACAAAAGTTACAAGATGTAACTAGGCTCAGTACAAATAACTTTGTTTTGTGTCTAGTTTAGAGACAAATTTGCTCTTTGCATCCGATTGAGTTCTTAAGAACACATCCTCGCTGGACACCCAGTTCAAGTGCACATAGGCAAAGTGCCTGGCAGGAGTAGGACCTAAAGTTGCCCGGAGATGTTCCGAGTTACCCGGAGGTGTCCCCATACGGGACGTAGCGCCCGGTCTGCGGGACGGGGCGCAGGACGCGCAGGACTGGGGCTTCCTCCGAGGATGTGCGGGTGAAAAATAAAAAGGGAAAGGGGGGGGGGTGAAGTGGAGGGACGCGACTTCCGGACAAAACGGAGACAAAAGTGGAGGGCCTTTTGTAAGCCTCTCCGGACAAGATTTGCTTCTGAAATTGGCGTGGGCACATCCGGCTGGCGTGGTTGCGCCTGGACCTGGGCCGGGTGGCCGTTTGGCCATGCGTCTGGGCGGCGGATCCACGAGGCGGGGCGTGGCGGGACGGGCCGAGGTGGGGCGGGGCGCGGCCGGCGGGGACCAGATCCACCTACCAAGGGCCCCGCGACTAGAAACCGAGCAAAGCAGCCGGCAGCATCGCTGGTGAGCGGCAACGAAAAGATCCTTCGACCTTGAGCCTTGGGCGGCCAACGTAGCGCGGGCGCGCGTGGCGGGGGGCGGGGCGGGGCTCGGCGGGGCGGGGAGAGGAAGGCCGGGGCTGCAGACGCTGGTCGTGATCTAGAAGACGACGCGGCCTCTTAGAGGACCAATGCCAATCCTGAGAGCTTGCTTGGTCTGGGCCGCCCTCATTTATGCACCCGTTGTAATTCGGCCGCTTTTAGTCTTTGTCGCGACTTTGCAGGATCTAAAAACAAGGCTCTCCCCACCCCCTCCCCTCAGCCGGTCCTATCCGGTGCCCTCCGGACCCTGTCGCCTGCCACTTCCGCTCGCCCGCCCATTAGCATTAGCGACGCTGAGGACTTCACGTGGCTCGGTACGGGGCGGCGGGGGCGGCCGGGGCTCAATGACGGGGCGTCGCACCAGCGTGCGAGGACCCGTCAGAGGAGCCCCGCCAGCTATCGCACAAGCAAGAGTCAAGCACACGAGCCGCTTTCAAGAGCAGAATTCTGATTTCGTTTTGTCAAAACAACATGGCAGATCCTACTCACATGCAAAGGTTTTGGCTGTAAAAGAGAGCTGTTATGTTCCCCTCTGCCGTCTTACACAAACACACACACACACACAGGGAAACTCTTTTGTTCGAAGTACATTGTCTTGGTAAAGTGATTCAAGATCAAGTTTATCTCTCGATACAAAAGCAATGTTGCCTTATTGGCAATGGCATCTAGTCCTATTCAATGACATCATCGGATTGTATGGAGAAAACCATTGAAAATTGGTCACAGTGCCGACAATTACTACGAGTACTTTAAAGAAGGCAACACCAGTTCACTTGTGCTCTACTAGTTGACAACCTGGGGGCGGGGGCACCAGAGGAGGGCCGCTCGGTGGTTCAGACTCTTCCCAGTCTAACTCTACGCAACGCAGGCCGCTGGCCGGGTAGGGAACCTGAACGCACGACAGAGGGCAGAGAGCCTCGACCAAGCAATCTAAAACAGTCTAGCTCATCTAGTCTACAGCGGAGCACGGACGGGCGAGTGCGCACTCCCTGTCGCAGCACTACGGCTCGTAAGCCACTAGGTGGGTCCAAAACTCACCCCGCCCTCCGCCTGCCGCCCGCCCCCGCCGCCCGCCGCGTCTGAAAGCAACGGCCAGCTCGTTGAGAAAAATGCACAGGTCGAAACGACACCGAACCGGTACTGTTTCCTATGGTTGTCCCGACTGCGCCCTGGCGCGGGCTCCGAGCTCCCCGACGGCCCCCGAGCGGCGCTCCCCTCGGCGTGCGCCGCGCAGCGCCGTGTACTCACCAGCCGTCATGCTCCAGGGACCGGCCGATGGCCACGGAGTGGGGCCGGTCCCGCAGCGCCGTCCAGTCCAGGGACCACTGACGCGGACGCAGCGGCTCCACGAGAGACGAGCGGTCGTACGCCGCAGCAGCCGCGGAGGACGCGGCGGGTGCCGTCGACGCGGGCACCTCGGCGATGGAGAGCGACGCCGTGCGAGTTCGAGTTCGGGGCGGCGAGCACAGCGTCGTGGAGTCCGAGTTGGAGCGGTGGAAGAAGCTGGACGAGTCAACGGGAAGGGGCCCAAGGCGCGTCGGGTCCACCTCGTTGCCGGCGTCCTCCGACATGGGGTTGGCGAAGAAGTGCGAGTGCGGGCGGGCTGGACGGCCGACCCGGAGGGAGCGCCGGGCCTGACTGGCCCACTGACGGCATCGCGACAGCGTCGCCGACGACACCTCGCTGGCCGTCGACCGGGGACGGCGTGGAGCTCGACGGCCCCCTCGGAGGACGTCCTCGTGCGTCACCAGCGTGGTGTTCACGGCCTCGGCGACGCCGCGTGGGGACACGCAGCGGCTGTTGGTTGCCTCCGAGTCCACGGCGTCGTAGTCCGACTCCTCCGAGTCCTCGAAGGCTTCGTTGAGCTGGCTGCCCCCCGACACGCGCTTGCTCGAGAACTCCCACGAGTCCGAGCGCACCATGTACGGGCCACGAGCAGTGCCCTGGCCCGGCCCCGCGCCAGGGGTGGGGCTGGGGGCGACGGACGGCGACGGCGACCCCCTGAAGGTGGAGGTGTTGGCCACGTTGGTATCCTCCGCGTCGGCCAGCTCGGCGGCCTCCTGGAACAGGACGCGCTCCACGGGGCCGCGGATGTGCGCCGCTGCATCCACCGGCCCATCGGGTCTCACATGTTTGACGGCGAAGGGGTCGACGACGACCTCCACGCGCACCTCCTGGCCGCCGAGACCGTGGCCGTGGCCCGGGCCGCACTGCTGGTCGCACTGGTTGTCCGCGCTGGAGGGCCGCGGGGGCACGGGCGGCGGCGGCGCATCCTGGTGGCTCGCGGGGCCGGCGGACTCAAAGTCGAGCATCTCCAGGCCGTCCTGGTCACCGAGGCCGAGGCCATCGTGCAGCAGCGGGCACCGCGGGCAGCTGGGACCGTGGTGGTCGGAGCGCTCTGGCGCCGCGGGCGCGGCCAGGGCCCCCGCGGGCGGCACGGGGGGCGCGGGGGGCACGGCAGTGGCCTCCATCAGCTCCTGGGCAGCATCCTCGAACGCGTCCGAGGAGAGCGACGTCCGGCGATTGGAGGTGCGGCTTGTCGATCTCCGAAATCCAACTGGAACAACAACAGTGAGGTTTACCGATTGATTGCCGGGGCTTGCGCAACGAGCTGTGTCGGAGACCATTCCGTGACGCTCCCCGTGTGACATGGTGAGTGAGTTGCGGTGACTGAGCAGCCATTTCTGACCTGCTGACATATTTATACCTCTAATACACGAATTGTGCTATTCACGGCGCTAACGCTTAACTTTGCTCTGTTTGGTTACGTTGAAACGCACGCTCGCCTGTGGTGTTGTTGCCTAGCCGCACTCTCCGGGGGGCTCTCGAGACTTGTGCAATGTCACACAGGCACCACTGCGAGCGGTGCAGGCAAGCCCGCCCGCACGTCTGAATCCGGCACACATAGTAAACCAGAAAAAAAAGGACGGCGCAGATTAACCCCTCGACCAGAAAGGCCGATACGTATCGCAATATCTATGAATACCGTATCGCCTTCCAGAATCTCGTCAAATGCCGAGTAAATTTTTGACACTTCTAGATGAGTTTGCTTTGTGACGGTATGATCCAAGGTAATAAAAGTTCCAGCGTCATATGACATGAACTGTATATGGCTATAACAAACGCCAAAGTTTATTGCATGGGGCAATGGAACTGCTCACTTTTACAGCCACGGTGATTCCACCGGTCCCTTCCAATCGAAACAGTATGCCATTCCCTTGTAAACGACCCCGGCCTCATCACTAACCCTCTGTCGCGCCTCGCGCCTCCTCACCCAGAGTGTCCCTGAGGAAGTGCAGCATCTGTCTGGCGCCGGAGGCGGTCGGCGGCCTGTCGCTAGACATGGTGCTCAGGTCCTCGCGCAGGGCCTACAGGGAGCGGGCCTGCATCGCTCTCCACTATACTTCTTCAGGCTTGCAGGTTGTGTCCGCGCGCGGTGGAGAGAAGCGCGCTCGGGTGTGTACTCCTCGGGCGGCTGTTCGACGGCGCACTACCCGGCCAGAGGCGCTCCCCTCCCCTCGCCTCGGCCCGGGCCCGGGGCTTCACGGCCGAGCTCTAACCGCTTGTTGACCACACTGCCCGCCGCGGGCCCGCCGCGCCCGGCCCGTCTCCTCAGGGTGGGACAATTGGCACCTGCCCTGCGGCCGCCGCCGCGCCTCCGCGCCTCGGTCACGCTGTTCGCAGGTCACCCTGCACTGCACTGCCAGAAACAGCGACTCCCTGCTGCTCCGCGACTTTATGCGTCTTAAAGCTCGACACCAGCTCGCTACCTCGTGGTCTGGTCTGCAAATAGCACTGGGGGCAGACAGGTCGGTCGGTCGTCGTCGAGGTCCTGTGTGGGAGTGCCGTGCCCCGCATGCACGTCTAGACCACGACTCTTGCCCGCCCTGTCTGCAGTGCGAGGTGCAATGTCAAACACCCCCGCCCCCGAGGTGAGTGAGCCCCCCGCCCCCCACCCCCCTCTCTCCCGTTGCCTCAGAGGCGTTAGGTGGGGGTCGATAACGAGGGAGCTCGCCGCGATAACTCGGCGCGCCGCCCCGGGCTGCGTCCGGGACGTCCGGGACGTCTGAGAAGCGCGCCAGCCTGCACCAGCCCCACGCCAGACGTATCCCGAACGCAGCCCGACGGGTCACCGAGGACTCTCCCCCAAAGACTCCCGTTCCAATGTCGACCCGATGAGCCGTGGAGGACGGCTAAGCGGGCACGCAGCACGCCCCGTCTTGTTTTCGCTATCTTCCGGACCCTGACTTGATGGCTCCTAGACGGAGCTGTCTGTTTCCCGACGCTCCCTCTTCAGACAGCATTCGACTCAGCCATGACTTCCACTTGCTCGCCGGTTGCATAGAAATCAGCCCGAATCAGCCCCCTCCTGAAGTTACAGCAAAGCAACAGCCGGCAACAGCACATAAGAAAGGAGCAACTTTCAGCATTTCTTTCAATAACGAAATCGATATTAAGATGCGTTCAGTGAAATGAACGATAAACTCTGTGATGAATGACCAATTGTCATTTGATTCCTTATTTCTTGGTAAAATTATCTACAGATCATCGGTGATGGCTTTTCTAGGTGGTCGCTCGTAACGTGATGAGTCCAAGTCCTGCTTGCCTCACACCGTCTGATTCGCCCCGCCCGTTTCCGTAGTTAGACTGGCCCAATACAGAGGTGCGCGCGGGTTGCCTAGGTGGACCCGTAAGGCGCCATGTGGAAGGCGACAGAGTCCGACCTGGTACACGTGCACTGAGGACTTGTTGTGCAGCTGTAGGGAGCGACCTTATGCCCACCTGGTACACGTGCACTGAGGACTTGCGCAGCTAGAGGGAGCGACCTCATGCCCACCCGGTACACGTGCACTGAGGACTTGCGCTACTATAGGGAGCGACCTCATGCCCACCTGGTACACGTGCACTGAGGACTTATGCAGCTATAGGGAGCGACCTCATGCCCACCTGGTACACGTGCACTGAGGACTTGTGCAGCTATAGGGAGCGACCTCATGCCCACCTGGTACACGTGCACTGAGGACTTGAGCTACTATAGGGAGCGACCTCATGCCTACCTGGTACACGTGCACTGAGGACTTGTGCAGCTATAGGGAGCGACCTCATGCCCACCTGGTACACGTGCACCAAGGGCTTGCACAGCGCAGCCATAGGGGGCGGGGGCGACTTCATTGCTGCGTACAGTTTTTACTGTACTTGCCCATGGCAAAGGGGGGGGTGAGCCGAAGCCACTGACTGGAGTTTTGGCCGTGCGGCAACGAGCGCGCCTGCCTGCCCGTGGCTTGTTTCCATTCCAGACCGGAGGGGCCTGGCCGGGCCTGGCGGGGCGAGGCGGGGCAAGGCGGAGCTGGGGCCGCTGCGCCGGTCACCAACAGCTCCGTGAGTCACGTCCTGAGACGGCTGCCTGTCGAAGGCCTCCGCCATGCTGTCGCTGCCGCCGCCGCGACTTACAGGCTTTATGACCGGCCTGCAGCGCGACACGAACACACCTAACCCCCCGCCCGCCTGCTCGGCTGCGTTTGATTTCCCACGTCTGGCTCCTCGCACTACGGCCGTGCCGGCTGCGTTTCTCAAACAACCATACGCTTGTATTTCGCATTTTCTGATACCGGTTCTTCCGGGGGGAACCGCAGATCGGAGGTTGGCGTATAGGTTTCTAGCCTCCGGCCGGAAAAGGAGCTACTGGTTGCTGTCAGTGCGGTGCAGATTTATTTAACTGCCCAGCCCAACAAACTCGAGAACGATATATGTTGTGGAGGAAACACCTCAGTGTTGCGGGTTTGCCTACTCCTTCCGCTAAAGCACCATGGCCCCTGCCGCCAAAAAGGGTAATCTCTGGTACGCCGCGGTATACTGTAGGGCGTCGTACACTTTCTCGTACTCAGCCAGCAGGGACTTGAACACAACTTGGACCCCGTTCCGGACCCTGCCGTCCTCCCGTTTCGTGATCTAGAACCCTTTGCGGCCCGCGCGCTGCGCCCCGCTCTACTCCCCCTAGGCCATGCCACGTCACGTGCGTGGCTCCGGGGAGGACGGGAGCGAACTAACAGAACCTTAATAACGTAGCAGTAAGCGCCTGGGGCACGCGAGACAGGGCGTCTCCATCTGAGGACCGGTGGGACCCGGGCGAGCGCCGCGGAGGTGCAGTTACAGATCACTGCATACAGCCTACGGTCCGACCCTACTTTTCAAAGCACGGGCAGCATCGGAGTTGACACGTGAGAGAGGGAGAGAAAAAGACGGACCTTAGGCTAGCTTGTCTACAGCCTATGGTCTTGCCACCATTGCCCGTCGAAATCGTATTGACACTGATAAAACAATTGCTCAACTGCAAGTTCAATACTTGCAAATGTTCAGCTGAGTAGTTGTCGTTAATGGTACAATTGCAAGTGTTCAACTCTGTAGTTGTCCACTTGCAAGAAATGTGCAACTCCTTCGTCGAACACGTTCTCACGTACAAACACAGTGAGCGTGTAAACTAAGGAAGTTGCACAGTTACAAGTGCACAACTGGCAGAGTTGAATACTTACGAGAATTCAAGTGGCAGTGCGGTACCCACACGCGGCGTGTAGAGTGTGTCCCCGGGGAGGGCTCGTGTTGGCCCAGTTGGCCTAGAGAACGTGAGGGACCCCGACCTTCCGATAAGGTGGCCTCCGC